ACCATACTGTCTCTTTCCTCTTTTACTCCTCTCCTCCAAATCCCTTTGCAGGTTAGAACTCCACTTTAATTAGAATCATGCCCCAAACGAAGCACCTGATACTGAAATCCTCAAATAATTGTAGAATGGAAAGAAGTGGTTGTCTCCGGAGGGCTTTTCAGATTAGGAACCAAGTGCCATCTCGGCTGCTCTAATTCTGAGCTGATGGGCATCTTAGATTCGCGCCGCACCCAAGTGGTTCAGATAGGATTTATTTGGTTACTTCATTTAAACACAGGGGACTTTTCCTGGAAAGTTCTAAAAGTAATAGTCATGCAATTAGTCATGTAAACAGAAGGTTTAGTGCTATGACAACAACTAGAACAGATATATGGGTAAACATGTGCAAATGTGAAATGGACCGATTCTTCTTAAAACCACATCTCAGTCAGAAGTCTTTCCAAATCACCTGCTTCCTAATTCTTTTAGGCCCCTTCTAAGTAAAGGTAAAGGTTTCCCCTGACATTGAGTCTAGTCATGTCCGAGACTCAGAGTTGGTGCTCATCTCCATTTCTAAGATGAAGAGCTGACATTGTCCGTAGACACCACCAAGGTCATGTGGCCAGCATGACTGTATGGAGCACTGTTACCTTCCCGCAGGAGCAGTACCTATTGATCTACTCACATTTGCATGTTTTTGAACTGCTAGGTTGGCAGAAGCTGGGGCTAACAGCAGGAGCTCACCCCACTCCCTGGATTTGAAGCACCAATCTTTTGGTCAGCAAGTTCAGCAGCTTTGTGGTTTAATGCACCGCACCACCAAGGGGCATACAATCCCTTCTACACTGCATATAGTCCAGATTATCAAAGTAGAAAATCTGTATTTTCTGCCTTGTACTGGATTATATCAGTGTACAATGTCATATAATCTAATTCAAAGCAATTAATTTGGATATTATATGGCAGCGTGGAAGGGGTCTTAATTAATGATGTTAAGGTTTGAACCTCCTGTACTCCACCAGTGAGTTGGTGGCTCTCTTCTCATAACATTGGCCAACACACATTTTGGTGCCTCAAATGTTAAACCAGTTTCTGGGTATATTTGACTTGCTGATTCCAAAAATTGCACATGTTTCCCCCCATTAGCTGTAGTTTTTGAGATACAGAACATTTGCCATATATTGGTCACCATCTGCTCACCTAAAAAAAATCGTGATAACCAAATCTTAGAAATTAGAGTAGATGTGATCT